CATTTCCCCTATACCCTTCTTGCCTTGTGTTGTATGCCGCTACATGCTCCGGGCTCAACCCGCCACAATAGGATGTATCATGGTTGGTGCCACCACAATTTTGACAAGAGAAAGAGTTTACTTGGGAGGAGCTTGAACCACTAGCAACACTTGTATTCAACTTGGCAAGCCCTTTTGTCAACATCTCAATTTGATGTTGCAATTGATCGACCTTCTCCAACTCATACTTCCCACCTTTCTTTGGCGCATTCCTCCTTCTTCCTCCCCAAGAGTAGTTTTTAACTACCTCTTCGATCGTTGCTTCAACTTGATTTTGAGGGACTTTGATCAATTGTCCACCCGCCCCCGCATCCAAATTAGCTCGAGACATCGGTTCCAAACCATCATAGAAGAACCTCATGAGTAAGCTTTGATTGTACTCATGGTGAGCACATGCTTGCACCAACTCTTTAAACCTCTCCCAAGCTTCACTAAGACTTTCCTCCGCCTCTTGTTCAAAAGATGCTATCTTCCTCCTCATCTCGGCGGTTTTCTCTTCGGAGATGAACCTCTTCAAGAATGCTTGGACAATTTCCCTCCATGTTGTGAGAGAATTAGGCTTGACTTGCTTGAGCCATTTCTTTGCTCTTCCCGCAAGAGATTGCCGAAATAGGTGCATCCGAATGTATTCTTGGGAAACTTGGTTGGTTTGAATCATGCCACAAAGTTCGAGGAACCTATCAAGGTGCTCAATGGGGGCTTCACTCGGTGAACCCGAGAATTGCTCCGCTTGAACCATTCGAGTGTATTGAGGATGGATGGTGAAGTTAGTTTCAGTGACGGGTAACAATATCCCACCGGTGAGCTCATAATCCTCCGGATTACCGAACTCACGAAATAATACATCCACTTGTTGTCCTGCCATTTCGTCACTTTGGGAATGTGAGGAACAAGAATCACTTTCACTATCAAAGATTGCACCAAAACCTCGTCCCTCTTCTTGATAAAGTCTACGGACTTGTCTCAAGGTTCGGTTGATTTCGAGATCAAGGTTGTGAGTAGGTGGTCCTTGAGATCTTCTTTGCATTCACCAAAGCTAAACAAACAATTAGCAATGACTAGCAAGTGGAAAAGGAACTAAACAAAAAGCAACAAAATCCACAAATTACGCAAATAAGTGTGCAAAACTAGCCATTTCCCCGGCAACGGCGCCAAAATTTTGATCGGTGGACAATTGGTCGTTAGTTTATTATCCTAGATCAAAATTACAATTTATAACTCCTATCCTAACTCTATGAAATTTTGTTTTAGATAGCGGTAAGGTAGGGTCGATTCCCAAGGAAACGGGGGTTTAGCACAATTAATACGGAATCGAGGAGAAATTGCTAGTAACAAAAGGGGGTATTTGTATTTGTGTTTGAAGAATTCTATGGACAAACCAACTACTATTGAGCCTAGAATAAACTAGAAATAAGGGAAATAGATTAAACACTTTTAAAAACAAATAAATGGGCAAGATTAGAGAGATAACAATGACAAAAGCACTAGGGAGAGGGGGATTCAATCATGAACAAAGAGTACTAATGAAAACCGAAGGGAAACCGATTCTAGGAGTATAAACACTACCTAATATAGTTCATTCTCATGCAACTATTCAAGCAAGTCGATGAAATCATTCACACCTAGATTAAATCATTCTCATGCATTCAATCAAGGGCTAGATTCTTGGGATTAGAGGTGCACACACTAACTCCAAGCATATTATAGCTCAAATCATCAACTCAAGAATAAATCCCAATCAATAATCAATAGATATTCATATACACATGATTTTCACCCCCTTCCCTAGCTAAAAACCTAAGCTAGAAGGAAAGGAATAGCCATAACAACTAACATAAGCATGTATTCAATACCAACACAACCTAACATGATTCTAACTTGAAAGCAAAATCAAAGAAACTAATAAAGCTTGAATATTTATGGAAATAAACTCAAGTAAGAGCAATAAAACAAAGAAGATCAAAAACTAGAGAAACAAAAGTAAAGATTGATATTATAAAGATGAAAGATTACCAAATCATCAAAGTAGTAGCAACAATCTAGAAGAAAGCTTGAATATTTGATTACAAAGATTGATTCTTGAACACTAGTGTTTTCTCTCTCTAGAAACCATGAACTTCTCTCTCTACAAATGAAATTTTGGGGCAATGGAATAGTGGATGCCAAGAAACTCAAGCAAGGGACTATTTATAGTCTTCTACCAAAAGGAAGAAAAAGGGCAAGGAAGAGGGCTCTCCGAACCGGCAGCCGCGCCCTCTCTAAGCTGGGTAAACTGCCTCGTAAAACCCAGAAAGTCGCGCCCGCGGGGCCAATTCTGCACCCGCGGCTCGCCATCTCCACTTTCTTCTGCTGGCTTCAGACTTTTCCTGTCCGCGCCCGCGGCTTACAAGCCTGCGCCCGCGACTTACAAGCCCGCGCCCGCGGCCCATCAGAACAGCGCGCCCTCTCCATCTTGGCATCTCCACTCCTTTGGCAAGCTCCTTTGGCATCTCCTTTGGCATCTCCACTCGAGCTATTGAGTTGTGAATCGCACATGAGCGCTGGGAGCTGTCAAAACACACAAAAAGGAGCTAAAAACTAGAAGAAAAGACACAAGGGGAGGAAAAATACGAGAGGGAGCTAAAGTGACTAAAATCAAGATAAAAGGGGTGAAAAGAGGCATAAGCAAGTGACAGATCCGGGGGAAATCGGTAGTAAAAAGGGTTAAAATGGTGGCATAAATGCCACACATCAATCACATTCTACGCATTTAATCGGTTGTGCTCAACAAGGTTACCTAAAGTGTTTAGAACCTTGAAGCAAAGGGTAATAATTAAACATGTGATGGTTAATTGTTCAACCAAGAGTTACAAGAGTTGTAATCAGTAAAAAGTTTACTCACCTTGAAAATGTAATGCTTGATGGTAGGGCCTCAGTTTGGTCAACTATTACACAAATAAAGGATCTTGGAATCACTTAATTCAATTGGGATCATTTAATATTGAATAAAGTGTTTTAAAGTAACCAATTAAATTCGTTTATGGTACTTTAATTTTCATTAAACATAATTATTAAACTTTGCCTTATTCTGTAATTGATGGGTAGCTGTAACAATGACAACAACATTTACAAAATTCGACCATTCCTTGAGAAGGATAGGTTGATAAGAGACAACTTTTCCAACTGGGAAACATTGCTGAGACTTGTTATGAAATCTGAAGGTAGAGAGGATGTCATTGACATCCCATTGCCTGCACCTTTTCCAGAAAACGCAACTGAGGCTCAGAAGCGTAGGCATAAGGACACTCTAGATAGAGTTGTGCCAATCACATGCTTGATGATTGCTACTATGGAGCCTAGCCTTCAAAAGCGTTTTGAAGACCAGGATGCATACACCATCATGCAAGAACTCAAAGCCTTGTGTAAGAAACAGGCACGAGTTGAGAGGTACGAGCTCCATCGAGAGATTTTGGATTGTAAGATGAAAAAGGGTGCAATCGTTCATGATCATGTTCTCAAAATGATCGGCCTAATTCAAAATATGGAGAAAATAGGGCACCCATACAGTAATGAGATGGCTACAGACATTATTCTCCACTCACTTCCAGAATCCTTTAATCAGTTTATCATGAACTTTAACATGTCTGATGCTGAGAAGACCATGAATGAGTTGCATGCTATGCTTGTCAGTGCAGAGAAGCAAATCCTCAAGGACGTAAAGAAAGAGGTTCTTATGGTCTAGAAAGGGAAGGGGTTCAAGAAAAAGGGGCAATGGGAAAGTGCCAAGAGCAAGGGCAAGAAAGTTGCCAAGGCTCCTGAAAAGCCCAAGCCTGCAAGTGAAAGTGAATTCTTTTACTGCAAGAAGAAAGGGCATTAGAAGCGCAACTGCCAGAAATACCTTGACTACCTCAAGAAGAATGGAGCATCGACCTCAGGTAATATGTTATAAATATTTTAACTTTCACTTAGGTAAGTGATACCAAGTTGCAGTGCTAACATTATTCATGTTGTGCAGAAGATGCAAAGAAGTGATGCTAGCTTGGAAATGGAGCTTGAAGGTGCACGAAAAGTGTTCAAGTGGCCAGAGATAGCTTCATAGTTTTATTTTTAATCATTTTATGATGATTTAGACTTATTTCCGAGTTTTTGATGAGACAATTTTTTCAGTTTTTGATGAAATACTGATTGGTTTTACTTGGCATGGACAAGTGTTGATCCATGGCAAGGTAATAAATTGTTTTCATTTTGCTAGATATGCGTTAATTTCGTTTTATAGCATTGATATAAGTAGATCATAAAGGAAAAAATAGATGATTTAAAACTAACCTACTTATAACATAGCAGGGTTAGGTCACATTAACCAATTGCGAATCCAAAGATTACAAATGGATGGACTCTTATTCTTATTTGATTATGAATCACTTGAGAATTGTAAATCATGCTTGTTAGGTAAGATGACCAAGTCACCATTTAGTTGAAAAGGGTGAAGGAGCTAATGACCTTTTGGAACTCATATATATGGTTGTGTGTGGAGAAATACGTTCAAAAGCTAGCAAAGGATTTAAATACTCCATTGCTTTTACTGACGAAGTAAATATGACTATATCTACTTAATGAAGCGAAAGTTAGAATCATTGAAAAGTTCAAGGAATTCCATAATGAAGTACAAATCAGTTTGAGATAAATAATTAAACCACTACGATCTGATCATTGTGGTGAATATTTGACTCAATAATTTTATGATCATCTAAGGGATTAACGAATTATTTCACAATCAAAGGTGTGTTAGAGGAGAAATCAAACTTTGCTTGACTTAGTTTGTGTAACACCCCAATAATTCTCTCTTTAAACCTGTAATTCCCTTAATAAAATTCAAGAGAATTACTAACGTGCTACCGCCACGTGTTCAAACGTTAAGGCTAATTCAGAATTTAGCAGCGAAAAATTAACTCAATTATAAAAAAAGGGATATTTTGGATTTTAACACCTTACAAAAGGCTGAAAATGTTTTTTAACACCCCCCAAAAAAAAACTTTTATTTTAACACCTCCCAAAAATATAAAAGTTGGAAGTTAACACCAAAATCCATCTTCCGTTAACAGAACTGTTAGTGGGGCCCACCCCAACGGATATATTTTTAAAAGATCTGTATATAAGAACCATTCTTCCACGATTCTTGCACGATATATAAGAACCATTCTTGCACGATTCTCCCCCAATGAACGAAATCGTTGTTCTTATTGAATAGCAGCAGCGCATTGCATTGTTGCACGATACTTGAAACAATTCTTTCACGATTCTTCCACGATTTTTGAGAAGAGGAACAGATTGAAGCTGCTGAAACAGGTGAGTGCGGTCAATTGTTCGGTTGTTTGGTAATTATGGTTTAAATTCTCTTCAATTATTATTTGCAATTGTTTCGTACTCAGATTAATGGTTGGATTATGTTATGTACGCATCTAAATGCCCAATTGCGAAATTAGGGTTCGTCAGAAATTGAATTTGGGGCTTTTCGTATTATGAAATTAAAAATGAATTTTGTTGCTGTCAATGTTAATTCGTCAGTGTACAAATCTGTAAATGTGACTGTCGATCTAAAATTGATGCAGATTATGTCGTTTGTTAGCTCTTCCCCTCCTGAGGCCAGAAAATGTAAGTGTGGTGTGCCAATGGCCAAGCTCACTAGCTGGACAAGGGAGAATCCAGGCAGGAAGTTCATATCATGTAAGTTTTATGACCCAATAACAGAAACAAGGGGTTGCAAAGCTTTCGAATGGGTTGATCAACCTGATGGAACAGATTGGCAAACAGGGGTTATCAACAACCTGTTGTTGGATAAGAAGCTGCTAAAGGGTGAAGTTAATGAATTGAAAAGGGAAGTTGATGAAATCAGTGGCCAAAGGAGGTGCCTACTTAATGAAGTTGATAATTTGAAGATGAGATGCAAGGCCTTGAACGCTGACAGGAAGAGAATGAACAGGGAGTGCAATGAAGGGAAGGTGTCTTCAATCAGCTGTTTTGGTTGGGTGGGCATGGCCATTTGTATAGGTTTGTCAATGGGTGTAATTTTCCTAATGGCTAGGGGTGTGTAATAGTAAGCTGTATTAAGTAGTTATAATTTCTTGTAATGACTTGAAGTGTTATAAATATGTCTTTTAATCAACCTATTTATGCCTTGTCTAAGTTCCTATTTATGCCTTGTCTTTTAATCAACCTATTTAAACATGTGAAACATTAAAACATGGGAAATATGTGAAACACTAAGATAGTTCAAGTACAGGTTGACAAAAGAACCTTACTTCAACATGTTTCAATGGCAATCAAAGCCATGCAACCATTACAATTCAATATCTAATTGTTCAAATTTGTTAAGGGAAGCCACTAAAAAACTAGCAAGTTACATAAGGTTGACACCAATTGTTCAATATCTTCTCCAACGTTGACACCACCCTACACTCCACTTCTCAGCCAAGATCTCCTTTGGTTCAAAAGCGAAATCAATGAAGGTTCAGAAAGAATTCAATGCAGAAGGTTGCTGCGAATTCAATGAAGAAAGAAGTTTCGTGTTTTGCTGGGTGAAAATTGAAGTTCAAGCCAATTTGTGGGACCCACGTTAAATTTCCGTGACGGAAATCGTTAACTGGTGTTAACTTCCAACTTTTATATTTTTGGGAGGTGTTAAAATAAAAGTTTTTTTTTGGGGGGTGTTAAAAAACATTTTCAGCCTTTTGTAAGGTGTTAAAATCCAAAATATCCTAAAAAAAGTTTCAAAACCAATGATCAAAATCAAATTAAGTCTTACAAATTGGAACCATTAAGGCCCTTATTCAAAACCCAACAAAGTAGTAAATAAATCAAACCAAAGTTTAAATAAATTCAAACTTATGAAATGAAATAAACTGTGAACAATAACCAACACTCCACTCAAAATCCCACCACATTGATGCAAGTCCAGACTATGTAAACACCTGTGATAAATCTGCTCCCCAATATTACAAGTGAAAAAAATTGGATCATTACGGGGTCATTGAAAGGCGAAGGCCATGACCAAGAAATAAACACACAAAAGCGCGCAATCAGCAACGCTGAGTACATACAAGCTACAAAGTATAACAAAGAATTCCTAGCCTGTTACTAATAATCAATCAACACACACAATTTAATTATTGACTCAAACACATGCCTCAACTGTTAACAATTATAAGACTTCACTAATTACTAATAAATAATTCACTTCATTTCATTTCATTCATTGGATTAAGCAATAAACAAGGTTGTCTCCCCATACTTCATTTCGGAACATCAATAAAAGAAAAACCCCATGCCTCCTTTCGGAAACATCCAATGGCAGACGGGCGCGACTCCGTGGCCATAGCTAGTATGAGATCTTATCTAACTCCTTATAGTTTAAAAAGTATTTGAAAATAAGAGACTAGTAGATCAGACGTCCTCTAGAAAAGTGCATGGCTAATACCCCGTGTACCCCAACCCCTGTTTTATATTACTCTAGATGTGCACAAATCCAAAGTTTTATAGCTCATCCATCTTGCACTTTATGTGATTTACAAGTTTAAACTTGGTGATGACTCAAAAGCAAAACAATACAATTTACATCAATCATTCAAACAATTCAAATTTCCAATTCAATTCTTGATTTATTAGTGACAAACAATATTTATTATTGAATCCTTTAACTACCTCGGTGTATAAACAACTTAAGTGCATAAGGCACCTCAAATCATCAACCTCGTCTCATAAGACTTTAATTCTCCCTTTACTCATTCCAATTCATAAACATGAACGAGTAATAAGATAATTCATTCCACATATTTATGTACCTTAGCCTCTAAGCTCATCTTGCAAATTATTTCATAAATAATACTTACAAGAAAATCAATACGCATTTCTCATACACGAAACAAAACCAATCATCACATTAATCATCAATCAAACTCACTACCATATAATTTCAACCAATCTACAAGTTTCTCTAACATGATTCTAAATTTTCCAAGTCCTTAAACATGCTCCTAAAGTCAAGGTTTTCGTATCCTTGTATGTACCTTGAGTAAACGAGTTGGTTGGCCACTTTAGGAACTAGAAATTGCCCTCTACGAAGTCCTGTCCTAAACCAAACAACAATAATTAAATCAATACCCAAGCAATAAAACTTTCAGGAATACTAATTAACTTTAAAAGCTTCAAAAATCATTGAAACGACATCTTTAAGTCTCCCTAAAGCCTAGGTTAGTAGTTTAGAAGTACTAGTATGAATTTCCATAGAAAAATCCTTAAAATACATCTTTATCTTGAAATTTCAGCAAGTTTAGAACATTATAAAAATCTGAAATTTTATTTTAAACAAGTATTTTGAAGTTATTGAAATCCTTGCTTACTACTTTCATTATATAGTAGATTAGTAGGCTTTAAACCCATAAATCCATTGATTTAAAGTGATTAAAGACTCAAAAAAAAATATACAAAAAAATCTGAAAATTAAGTCATGAAAGTAAAATTCAAAGTTTAACATTTTGTAGTTACAACATACCCATAATAATCATCTAATGGGATTAGGAACATGAAAAATATGAAACTAATACAAATCAAAACCCAAAATTGAAACTTTAAAAATCTGAAATTTTATTTACAATCAAAATAATTAAGGTTTAACATAATTTAAACATAGTATGATTAGGTAACTTGATTAACACGTTTTAAGCCTTAAAATCATGAAAAAAATCAAGGTTTAAGCCCTAATTTCATAAATTATGTAATCTGAAAATTTAAACTTCATATCATAATTTATAAACTTGATAATTTTTCATGTTTTTAAAGAATTTAAACATGATTAAAGTAATTAAAACTAACAATATAAATTAAAACAACAATCTTTAATAATAATAAGGAAGAAGGAGAAACAAAGGAGGAAGGAGGAAGAAGGAAGCAAGACCGGCGGCTGGTGACTGGGCGACGGCTCTGCGGTGGTTCAATTGCAACTTTTCTTTTCTTTTGGTTATTTTTTCTGTATGTCGTGAAATAGGGGAAGCAAAATGGATGTTAAGGTTTTTTTTTTTTTTTTTTTTTTTTTTTTTGCTAATTGTACGTATAAATAAAAGGGTAAGGGGTTTTATAATTAAAGGTGGGCTTTTACTTATCCTAATCTAAGTGGAGTTAGGAATTGTATTGAAGCTAGGAATTGTACTGAAGCTTATTTAGGCTCAATTAGGATTGAAATTTGATTCATGTTGGGCTACAAAATAATGGGTTAGAAAAATATAGGAGTAGTTAGTCCAAAATAAGGATAGTAAGATATAATAATTTTCTCATTAGAATAACTTTCATAAAATATATATATACATAATCTTTTCTTAAATGTAATTAAAAAAATATTCGTATAACTATAATAATATATAATTATAAATTTACATAAAATTATGGGGATTACAATCTACCCCTCTTAAAAGAAGTTTCGTCCCCGAAACTTAACCCAAAATCCATAATTCTTAAAAGTATTCAAAAACTTTTGTTTTGTATTGCTGTAAATTGCTTGCTTCTCAACATGTATACTCAACAAACTCAACTTATACTCGATAAATTCGTACTTGGCCAAAAGTTCACATACTTAAATAGCATGCAAACACAACAATATTGTTTAATAATAAGCAAAATCATGAAAACTTAAGCAATAAATAGCATAAATGAGTTGAAAAGCGCGAAATTACATCGCATTCTACCCCTCTTAAAAGAAAAGAGTTACACCCTCGTAACTCACCTCATCAAATAATTCGGGATATTTCGTTCTCATCTCTTCCTCGGCCTCCCCAGTAGCCGCTTGTACTCTTGGTTAAACCAAAGGACCTTAACTATTTTCACATCTTTGTTTCTAGTACTTTGCACCTTATGATATAGGATTTTGATTGGTGTTTCTTCATAAGTTAGGGACTTATCCAGTTGAATCGTTAATGGTTGCAACACATGGGTTTCACTAGGCGAGTACTTCTTCAATTGGGAAATGTGGAGCACATCATGTTGTTGGGTTTCATAGTGTCCGATACTACGCAGAATGAAACCCTCCCAAAATCCGCACACAAATTAAAGTAACTAAACGTGCATATTGATTAACAATCACATAATTAATTAACAAAGAAGAAGAAGAGACGATCATACCCTTGATGCGTGCTTTGCTCTTTCTTAAAACTCATACTTGAAAGCGTAGAGCTTCGCAAATGCGCAAGCCTCCAACGGCTCTCCCCCTCGAGACCCGACCCGAACGGCCCCTACCCCGAAGCTTAGTCGGGGCTAGACCAAAAGTACTTAGAGTATTAGAACGAAAGTGTTCTCGCTTGTGGAGATCCTTTCAAGTTCACAACTCAAGTGCCCTTTCCCAATGCCAAATGATTGGTATTTATAGGGAAAGGAACCCTTGAATTCCAATCTCCCGTCAATGTGGGAGAGTTGGTAAAAAGGCATTTATTCAATTTAATTTAATTCAAAAACCAAATTAAATTGCAAATGAATCAACAAACAACAAGTGTCAAGTGGAAAGCAAGGGGTTAGGTGAAGACCATAAGGGGGGGGGGACCATCCACCCCTTGCTCCCCAAGAAATTCCTCAACAAACCAAGCCAACAAGCATGTTCTAGCTGGCGGCCTGCCTTGGCAGCCAAGGCAGCCTCGCTGATGCCTAGCGCCATGGCTAGGCCTGCCAGCCAGCCCGCATATTCCCACGCACAGCCAGCAGGCCACGCACGCAATGTGGGCTGCTGCTGCTGTGTTGCTTATGTTAGGCAGCGCCTAGCTACTGCGATTCTTGTGCTGGGCTACGCCCAACTAGCTGCTGCGACCATGTGTGAGGCTCAGCAAGCATATGCTTGCTGCTGGCCTTGCGATGGTGCGAGGCTGGCTGCTGGCTTCCTTAGCAAGTGCGACCAGCCATGCTGGCCTAGCGATGCGCGCAAGGCATGCTTGGCCAGCATGCTCGACCAAGCTAGGCATGCTAAGCTTGCGGCTGAGCATTGCCTTGCGACAGTGACCCTTGGCTAGCCATGCTAGCCATATTTCCCTTGGCCCTCGGATTGCTCAGGGCATTTCAAGGCTAGGGGTACATTTGTAACTTGTTGTTTGCTTGATTTCTCGTCTCGTCAATTCCTAAATTCGACTTGAC